AACAATTCTAGTATATATTTTTAAGATAATAGCTTTATGATCTTTTCTAATTACATATATGAAATCTTCCAGTTCATGAACATGGGATGTCTTTCCATTTATTTAGGTTTTCTTTCAGCAATGTTTTATAGTTTTAAGTGTATAAGTCTTACACCTCCTTAGTTAAATCTATTCCTAGGTATTTTATTCCTTTAGATGCTGTTGAAAAGATGGAATTGTTTTCTTCATTTCCTTCTGGGATTGTTCATTGCTTGTGTGTATGGAAACACAACTGATTTTTGAATGTTGATCTTGTATCCTGCAGCTTTGTTGAATTCCTTTATTAGCTCTAGTAGCTTTCTTGTGACTTCTTTGGGATTGTCTATATATACAATCATGTCATCTGTGAGTACAGTTTTACTTCCTCCTTTCTGATTTGGATGCCTTTTGTTTCTCGTTCTTGCCTAATTTCTCTGGCTGGAACTCTGAGTACAGTGCTGAATAGCAGCGGTGAAAATGGGCATCTTTGTCTTCAGCCTGATCTTAGGGGAAGGTTTTCATTCTTTCACCATTGAGTATGATGTTAACTATGGATTTTTGAAAAATGCCCTTTATCGTCTTGAGGAATTTCCTTCTATTCCTGCTTTGCTGAGTATTTTTATCATGAAAGAGTGTTGGATTTTGTCACATGCTTTTTCTGCATAAATTGAGACACTTCATGGTTCTTTTCCTTGGTTTTATGAATGTGGTGTATTACATTGATTTTCTTATGTTGAGCCATCCTTGCATTCCAGGGTAAATCCCACTTGGTCATGGTGTATTTTCCTTTTAATATGCCATTGGATTTGGTTTGCTAGTTTTGGGGGAGGATGTTTGCATCTATGTTTATAAGGTATGTTGGTCTGTAGTTTTCTTCTGGCGTCTTTTTCTGGCCTTGGTATCAGGGTAATGCTGGCCTCGTAGGACGAGCTGGGAATTGTTCCCTCCTCTTCTGTTTTTTGGAAGTGTTTCTTTAAATGTTTTGTAGAATTCACCAGTGAAGCTTCCTGGTCCTGACCTTTTCTTTGTTGGAAGATTTTTGGTTACTGATTCAATCTCTTCACTTCTTGTAAGTCTGTTGAGACTTTAGATTTCTTCCTGAGTTAGTTGAGGTAATTTATATGTTTCTAGGAATTTGTACATTTCATCTAGATTATCTAATTTGTTGGCATACAGTTGCTCATACTAGTCTCTTATAATCCTTTTTATTTCCGTAAGATCGCTAGTCATGTCCCCACTTCCGTTTCTGATTCTAGTTATTTATGTCTTCTCTCTACCATTGGTTTGTCAGTTTTCTTGATCTTTTCAAAGAACCAACCTTTGGCTTCATTAATTCTCTCTATTGTCGTTCTGTTCTCTAGTTCATTTATCTCTGCTCTAATATTTATTATTTCCTTCCTTCTGCTAGGTTTAGTTTGCTGTTGCTTTTTCGGTGCCCTAATGTGGAAGATTAAGTTATTGATTTAAGATCTTTCTTCTTTTTTAATTTGTACAGCTATAAATTCCCTATCAGCATTTTTTTTTTTTTTTTTGCTGCATCCCATAAGTTTGTATGTTATGTTTGCTTTTTCCTTCAACTCAAAGTATTTTCTGATTTCCTTTGTAATTTCTTCTTTAACCCATTGGTTGTTTAATTTCCACATATTTGTGAATTTTCCAGTTTTCGTTCTTTTATTTCCAGTGTTATTCTATTGTAGTCAGAGAAGACACTTTGTAGAGAAGGACGTGGAATCTGCTATTGTTGGGGGTGGAGTGTTCTGTACGTGTCTGTTAGGTCTGGATAGCCGATAGTGTTGTCCACGTTCTCTGTTTCCTTACTGATCTTCTATCTAAATGTTCTATCCATTTTTGAAGGTGTTGTATTAAAGTCTCCAATGATTGCTGTAGAACCACCTATTTCTCCCTTCAATTCTGTCAATCTTTGCTTCCTACATTTTAGGAAGAGCCCTCAGGAGCTCTAATGCTTCTCACGACAAGTTCTTCCAGCCTGGGTGAGTTGTTGCTATATGCGTGCATTACTTTAAGCAAAATTGAAGTAATCATAATGTGATCACTCAGACCACTTACTTCTGATAACGATGGCCCCCCAGGGAGATCTAAATCATGGCGACCATTACAGACTGATATTGCCATTTCCAAAGAGGTCTCATTTATTACACTTGGTCCATGCAGATCAAGAAAGCTGGCCAATGGCACACCCTCAGTCAACCAGTGTAGGAGATGCTCCTGAAGGTCACACATTCAGTTCCTTTCACCTCATGTCATGCACCCTTGCTCCATGACCACCCCCCGCCATAGGCCAGCCCTATCCCCTAGCACATTATCTTCTTAGATGTTACCTTGGCTCATTCTCAACCTCAGGGACTCACTGAGGTGTGTGCTTGTTTCTCCATCACTGTGGACATCATACACTCCCTCAGTGGACACCATTGCCTCCCTGTCTTCCTCCCTCTTTCATGTCCATGAGTTCAGTCAAGAGCCGTCTCCTCATCTTTCCCCTAGTCCCTCATCTTGGCCCTCGCTGCAGATCTGCCTCTCCGCACTCCCAGCTTACAGGCTTTCCAGGGTTCTTAACTAACCAGGACAATGGAGTGCGAGGACCCCATCCAGGCTCTGCCTCCCCTTGCGTCTGCGCTGCAGCGTCTCCCTCGGTCTAGTTTCATTTCCTGTCGGCTGATGCTTGACGGTGAGATTGAGTTTCCGTACACCGTCCGGAATTGTTTTATCGTTGTTAAAAGCAAATCACACAAACAAGCAAACAAATAAAGCAAAGCCTCAGCTTAGTGGTTCTTAAACATCTGTAATGAAAAACTGTGAGGGGGGAAAAAGGCTATTTATGTTATTGTTTGTGACAGAAATAAGTTTTTTGTTGTGTAAACCCTGGAAGGAACATTCAGAAGCTCTATATTTTAGTGTTTTGATATAATTGCTCTGTGCCTCCATCAGCTCTGCTAGAAAATTAGCAAAAAATAAGACCTCCCTAAAAACCAGATAACTCCATCCAAACAGAGCCTTCCAGAATTGAGGACATTACCCAAACGTTACTAAATGTTGACGTTGTCTGGAAGGTCAGATGTCATCCCCTTCTTTGTCTTCTCTTTAAAGTGGTTTTTAAGCAACTATTTTTGTTCTCAAAACCAGAAGCTTATTTGCTTTTTAAAGCCAGTTTGCTTATTTAATAATTCCCCTAATCCATCAAATTCAGAAGCAAATACTTAGGCCAGTTTATGCTGCCATTTCAGTTATACTTGTTTTCAAGTGAGCTTAGGAAACCCACGTGGCATGGCCTGAAGCTCTTAAACCATTTTAAGAAAATGGTTTAAAATGGCTGAAGAAAAGTGACATTGACGAATGACTGTGACATTTAGAAGCCCTGCCGATGTGAAGACACCCCTTCAGCCTGCTTCTCTTCCTCAGACGAGACGCCGTGGAATAGCTGCGGAGAACACTGGCTGACGTCTCTCCTTTGCCTGGCTTAGAAAGTGGTAAACAGAAAACCATCTTCCTTTTTTTTTTTCTCTTCTGTAGAATCCCAGCCCAGGATTGTTTGCTGTGATGCAACCTCTGACCTACCCAGAAACCGTAATAGATTACCACCTCTGCCCTTACCCCAAGTACAAGTTCACCAGAGAGGTCCATGAGGGGTCCAGCATTCCCTTCACCCAAAAGCAGTTTCTCCATCACACGGTAATGCTGTCAGGGAGGGACAGGGGATGCAGGGGGAGGGTCACCGCTGGAGCTGAGAGAAAGAAGGTTTGCGGCCACAGCTGCAGAGCGGGCGGGGTGACAACTGCAGCATTTGCTCGCGCTCCTCCAGCCATCCCTGGGGGTCAGTGATGACAGCCTGAGCCCCTCTGTCCCATCACAACCCGCCTCTCATCATGCGTTGCCCTTCTGTAACAGCCTCGCTCATTTTCCCCTTGAAGGCTACTCCTGAGGTTCGTTTTATTCGTCTTTCAACCGTGTCAGAAGGGTCATGTGGCCAGCATAACCCTGTGGTCTGACTCTTCCTTCTCTGGCCCCACCAAGTGTGGGAACACCAGGGGTGGACAAGGTACACGGTAGGGGAAGTGGCTGCCAAAAATTCCTCCTCCCTCAGGTGACCTACCTGACCTGACTCTCTGGCTGTCCCAGGACATCCCTTGGGGGGCTGCCCTCAGGCCTCTCAAACTCAAAAAATCCCCAACTGTGCCCATCTCCACCACCCCCAGAGCTGCCTGCTCTGTTTGAGTTACCTCGTTGCCTTTTTGATCTATCGACTTGGGCAGGGACCCTGTCCCTCTTGGTCCCTCCCTCTCCTTCATTCCCCGTGTCTGACCATCGGTGCGGTCCGTCAGTCTGCCTCGTACACAGCGGGTGCATCCACCCACCCCCCCAGCCCCACCCCATGGCCGTACCGCTGAGTCGGCCCTCTGCGGAAGTCCTCCTGAGACACGAATCTGATCACGTCATTTTCCTGCTTGAAAGCCCGCGGGGTCCCTGCTGCCCGCAGGAGCAGCGCCAAGCTCATCAGCTTGCTCCACGAGGCCCTTCAGGATCTGCCTGCCTCTCCCATCAGCCCCCATCACACCCCGCGCTCCACCGAGCTGGGGGTCTCCTGACCGTGCTCTCGAGCATGGGGCCATGCACTGGCACCCCCAGTTCGCCTGGTCTGGCACGCCATCTGATGAACTACCCGTCCTCTGTGAGTGTGGCTTTGGCGCTGCATTCACACATCATCAGAACAATCGCAAAACCGCGTCTGTCCTTCATCAGAAGGCTGTGGGCCTCACATGCCTGATGAAGGAGGAAAGCGCCTTCCTTGTCCCGACCGTAATTGTGTGTTGACTTGCTGAATGTCCTTTGCTGGTGCAATTGTCTTTTGGCTTTGGAAAAATTAAATCAAACTTAATGACATTACACATTTTCGAGCTAAACTCTTAAGAATGAAAAAATGCAGCTGAACGAAATGGAAGTTCTTGCTGCGTTTTACCTCTCTAACCAGTTCCCTTGCGCTCAGTACCCCGTGCCTGCTTCCCCTACAGGATATTATTCCCGGCATCATGCACTGGAAGAAGTTCCGGTCACTGGTTCTGTCGTCCCTGCCCAACCCTTCTAGGACAGAGCCGACACGGAGGTAAGCCAGCTCGTCTGTGTGTGTCACGGAGGCACGTTGCCCTGCAGGTGACAGAGGCCGTGACCCTAAACAGTTCAATGCCACTGGTTTGTCATCTCGTACTCTTAATGCACAAGGGATGGCTGCGCATCGGAAACGATGTGACAATGTGTCACCTCTTGTCACGTTCGAATCTGTCTTAACGAGGTACACATAAAACAGTCAATGGCACAAGTGGCTAATTGGCGGTTCTTCAGTACAAGCAGAAGCCGGTCCATGTAATTTGGCTGAGACAGTCACAGTCACTTTTAGAATTTGCTTGTTTCCCCTAATTGCCCACATCGGCCATCTGCACGCTCCACATCCAATTCCAAAGGTTCACTGCTCTCTCACGCCATCACCCGGCGTTAACTGTGAGTCCCCACAGCTGTTATCACGGGGGGACGCAGCTCTGCTACACATACAGCCTGCAATGGGCAGATGAGAATACTGTCGGTCCAAAGAAAGAAATTTAGAGTCGCCGCACCTTTTGGATTTGCTTATTTAGTATCCCTTCCAAGCCCGAAGGTACCCAGCAGGTGGCCTGATGACTTTTCAGGAGGGTTCTGCCCAGCCAGTAACCCTCTCCTGAGCCCATGGGTTTGCTCCTTTAGCCCACTGCCCTTATACATATAGTTCAATGAGTTACTGGTGAGGCAATGTGACTCATTCCCCCAAATGATGATCATCAGTTGTCACCTTTGTTCAACCCCTCTCATCTATAATGGGGCCCACCCAAGCGGAGCAGAGTCCTGTCACAGCCCAAAGAATTGTCAGACCTGAGCTCTGTCACCAACCAAGAAAGGGACCTAGAATCTTTATAACCCCCTGCCCTCACGCCACTCCCACCCTGCCACCAACATGTGGTGGATCCCCGGCTCAGAAAACCGAGTTCCTAAGTTCCCTCCCCTCACCAAGAACGCCCCCAGCCTCCAGGAGCTGTGTGACCTCCCACACGCTCCTTGGCCACCTCTCTGGGACCAGTCCTCTCACTGATGTCACAAGGAAATTGGACTTGCTGCAAAGGTCCCTCTCATCAGCTACCACCAGTGACCGCCCTGACGGGGAACACAACAGAGAGTCCCTGATGGAGCAGCAGAAAGGTGGGGTGCAGAACTCAAATTCTAGTAAGAAGACCAGACTTAATGGTCTGACTGAGACTGGAGGAACCCCAGAAAGCATGGCCCCCGGATTCTCTATCAGCCCATAACTAAAACAGTTTCCAAGGCCAACTCTTCAGACAGGGATTGGACTGGACTGTGGGACATGAAGGGATACTCGTGAGGAGTGTGCCTCTTAGCTCAACTAGATACAAGAGACTAAACGGGCAGCTTCTGTCCGGAGGTGAGATGGGAAGGTAGAGAGGGTTAGGAGCTGGTTGAATGGACATAGGAAATCAGGGGTGGTAAGGAGGGGGGTGCTGTCACAGTATGGGGAGAGCAGTTAAGGTCCAATAACAATGTATGTGTAAAATTTCGTATGGGAGACTAACTTGAAATGTAAACTTCATTTAAACTACAACAATAAAAAAAGAAAAAAAGGTCCCTCTCAGCCTTGACATTTTAATTTTAGGCAGAGCAGGAAAACTTCTCAGCTGTGCAGCTCTGCCTATATACCACCCATCCACACCCTACCCGTCCACCCAGGTATTTGGGGAGATGGCTGGAGTCCAGCGTACGACTCTATACCACTGAATTTTGCTCCTGCCTTTATTACCAGCAGGAAAAGCTCTTCCTGAATGAAACAAAACCCAGCCTGATTTCCAGAGGCTTCTCCATGTACTGTCCCTTCTGGGTTATTTTCTTAATGATTCTCTACCACTCTCCTTTGGCTGGAGATTAAAATGAGGGAAACACGAAGCACCCAGTGTGGGATTTGGGACGTGGTAGGAGCTCAAAAATATTAGATCCTTTTCTCTGAGTTCATTCATACCTCATTGCCATCCCAAAATAAACTCAGCATCTTTGTTGTTCATTTTCACGTATTTCTAAGATCTGAGATCTCCAGAGCTGGGGGGAACAGCGGTACTGTAGAGAGAACAGAAGCCCTGGAGTCCGACCTGCCTCCGTCACTCACTGCTGTGTCCCAGCTGTATGGCCCTGGGCGAGTTCCTTACTGCTGAAACCCTGTGAGCAGTGATGTGCTCACCTGGGTAGCAGGGGCGATGGTGGTATCCTCATGGGGTTGTTGTGAGATTTAAAGGAAAATGATGTCCGTGAAGCATCTAGTACCATGCCTGCTGCACACTTAATGACTTCCTTCTCTTCTACCCCCCACCCCACCCCATAAACGCTGGGGTCACTCTGTTGCCACCAGTGGCGACGCTGTGCCACTGCCCTGACAGGCCTCCTTTTGCTGTGTTGTGTGAACACAAATCGAAGGAGCCCTGTTGGCACAGTCGTTAAGAGCTTGGCTGCCAACTGAAAGGTTGGTGGTTTGAACCCACCAGCAGCTCCACAGCATGAGAAAGATGTAGCAGTGGGCTTCTGTAAAGAGTGTAGCCTTCATGGAGCCACGAAGGTTGGATGAACCCCTGAATCTGTTGCCCTGAGATAATCTTTAAACCGTACACCAAAAATATCCCCTGAAGTCTTCTTAAAACCAAACAATAGCTTAGCTTAACTAGTAAGAAATACCTGCCTTGAGCATTATGCTCTTTTAAGAATTATCTGTATGGGATCAAATTGATAACAGCAACTCGAAAGGTTAGATAGGAACCTTAGGGGGCAGTGAGTTTATGTTAATGGGGGAGGAACAACTCTGAAAAGGAGGGTGAGAATGGTTACACCTTGAAGAATGTAATCAGTGTCACTAACTGGTACACATAGAAACTGTTGGTGTATGTTTCTCTGTGTATATTCTCAACAACAACAGCAAAATAAATAAAATTATCTTTTTTAGAAAAAGATTGCAGCCTTGGAAGCCCCGTGGGGCAGTTCTCGTCTGTTCTATAGAGTCAGTATGAGTGGGAGTATACTTGATGACAAAAATGGGAAACAGTGAGAAATGGGAAATTGCCCATGTCCACCCATTGTCAACACGCACAGATCTCAAGAATTAGGAGAAAACATCCTTTTTTTTCCTTTTTCCCAAAGCAGTGTCCTTGGAAAAAATCCCCTGAGACTGTCCTGCCAACATGTAGTCAGAATGCAGTGACCTTGGACTTGAATCAAACATGAATTAAACGTGAATTCTACTCGAATTAAGGAAAACTCCAACCAGGAATTGTTACTTTTTGCTTCTGTGCCTGAGTGCTCTGTTGGGCCAATTTGTTTCTCAAAATAAATTTTGTTAACAGATTATACAACCAAAATAGGATTCTCTGCTTCCTTATCACGGGAGTTCCACTGGATATAAGAGTCCAGATCGTATTTTAATTTCTAAAAACAGTTACAAAATTAAAACGTTAATTCCTTTTTTAAGTCTCTACAAACCCATTAATGGTGTTTCAATTTTGCAGCCATTTTGCCTCAAATTCTTATAAGGTGTTTCCCCTTGTTTCGTTTGCTCCTAAAAATTAACTGTTTGTTGTTAAACCATGCAATGTAGTTATTTGGTGTTTGTTTATTACAAGTCATTTTTCTTATTCATAATAATAGAAACCTGTCATTTGGTTTTCTTCACTCTTTAATAAATTTAGAAAGAATTTGTTCAGTTTCCATGGGCTTCCGTAAAATCTGAGAGTTAGCAGTATGCAAAGAAATCATCTAATACAGTAATTCTCAGACGTTCGGATTTTATAGATGAGTGCAATATCCATAAGAGTTTTGGGAAATTAGGGTCAGAGTTTTATTTTGTCAAGTAAAGACATTAGAACAGAACAAAACAAATATTTTCAAAACCCACCATCTGCTGTTGCCACCATTTCATTTTTTTTTTTTTTCTTTTTATCATGGTGAAAATGTACACACCAAAACATTCACCAACACAACCTCCACATGTACAATTCGGTGACATTGACTACTCTTTGATGTTATGCTACCATTATCACCATCCTTTTCCAAAATTCCCCCACCATTTACATAAATCCAATGCCCCTAAACAAAAACTCTCCCTTTCCCCCTCCTTCTCATCCCTAGTAATCATTAATAATCTGTAGTTTCTATATATTTGCTTATTTCGGATAAGTGAGATCATACAGTATTTGTCCATTTGAGACTGAGGTATTTCGCTCAGCATAAAGTTTTTAAGGTCCATCCAGGTTGTGGCATGCATCAGGATTTCATTTGCCACCATCTCATTTTTAAAAGTAAAACATTTTTAATAGTAAAACACAAAAATGGTAAGAGGAACATGGTCTCAACATTTAAAAGTTGGATAAATGTTGTTTCATGAAAAACTCACTTTGTTGTCTTAGTTGTTACCATTCCATCCTCCCAGACCAGCCTAGTCGCTGGAAAGCAGTCGAGCCTTTCAACTTCTCAGTCCCCCTTCTTGGCAGAAATCCCTCTGATCACACATGTTCTAAAGTTTCTGTGGAATTTTCAACAACCCTCTTTGTCATAAAGTCAGTAAAAAGCACTAACCTTCTGGACGGTGAACTCTCCGCACGATGGAGGAGCAGTCCGGTCTTCACAGAGCTTTCTGGGCCATCTGTAGGTGCCCTTCTCAGAGCACAGTGACAAACGTTGTCTCAAGAGGCAGCCTAGGCTTCTAGGAACAAAAGCAATCACCCAAGCAAACCTCTGTCCTTTTTAAAGAGAAGAAACAGAGGCCCTGATAGACGGGCTCTTGTCTTAGTCACCTAGGGCTGCCATCACAAAATACTCCAAAGGGGGGACTTTAAAGAACAGAAACGTATTTTCTTAGAATTCTGTAGGCTAGAAATCTAGATCAGGGTGTCAGCCATGTTGATTCCTTCTGAGGGATCTGAAAGAGGAACTGTTCCATGCCTTCCTCCTATCTTCCAGTGGCTCCCGGCAATCCTTGGGGTTCCTTTGCTTCTTGTAGCTGAGTCTTCCCATGGGGTCTTCCTCTGCAAGACTCTGTTTTCAAGTCTGTTCTCCCTTTCATAAGGTGCCGCTCGGAAGGGCTTAGGACTCACTCTACTCCTCAGTATGACCTCATGTTAACTGGTAGCAAAAGATAAACTGTGTTTCCAAACAAGGTCACTTTCACAGGTACGGGGTTAGGACTTCAACATATCTTCTTGGGGGACACACATCAATCCACAGGAGAGCTGATCCCCACCTGAGGGGTCCCCCAACCACACTCGTTCAGGATGGCTCCTGTGTCATTTGGCAAAACTCCTTGTTGTTTGAGTACTTCCTTACTTTCTGGCATAACAAAATGTTCCACGTTTATCTTGTACCTACCCTGCCCCACCCTAGAATCAGCCTTTTCTCCAAGGAGCCCAGGCTCTTTTAATGGAGAATGGTATTATTAAAGACTAAGAGCTGGGTGCTAGGTGCACACCTCGCTACACACAAGCCAGGAAATATATACATTATACGCACATGTGCGTGCAGCAGCTGGACACTGAATAAGGAAGACCAGAGAAGAATCGATGCCTTTGAATTATGGTGTCGGTGAAGAATATTGAACATACCGTGAACTGCCAAAAGAGTGAACAAGTCTGTCTTGGAAGAAGCACAGCCAGAATGCTCCTTAGAAGGGAAGATGACGAGACTTCATCTGGCTTACTTTGGACATGTTATCAGGAGGGACCAGTCCCTGGAGAAGGACATCATGCTTGGTACAGTGGAGGGTCAATGAAACAGTGGAAGACCCTCCATGAGATGGATTGACACAGTGGCTGCAACAATGGGCTCAAGCGTAACAACGGTTGTGAGGATGGCGCAGGACTGGGCAGTTGTTTCGTTCTGTTGTATATGGGGTCACTATGAGTCGGGACCGACTCAATGGCACCTAACAAAAACAGCAACATATGCACATATATCTACACATACGTATAAAAATGCATACACACAAAAATATGTGTACATATGTACATATACGTGTGCACATAAATACACATATATATACGTTTTAGAAATCATAGGTTCATACCAATACTTCCAATTCCTTTCCATCCCCGTAAGGTTATTGTTTTCCTTCTCCCACTCCCTATTTGTATGTCCCTTCTTTCACCGTGAGAACCCTGGCTCCTAACATATTTACTCACTTGCTCGATTCTATAATACATCTAAATAATTTCAGAATTGCTTCACCCATAACCACTACATTAAACAAGCAAAATAGGGTTCAGGATTTGTTTGCAATTCTCCCCCACACCAGTCCAAGACTGTGAATACATGTAGTCAAATACTGTGTTCATAAGTTACTTGGTTTATTTCTTTCTTCTTAGTATAATTGTGGAATTTATGTGAAATATTATTTCAGTTTTTTATTTTTTTCCTTCCCTTTCTTACTGACTTAATTTTATATTTTGAATATGAGGAGCATTACTATGTTTTCCAAAGTCAAAACTGCACAAAAATTTATACTCAGAGAAGTGTCACTGCTTCTCATATTTCTCCCACCCCTTGTAGGTAACCAGCTTGGTCTTCTCGTTTATCCTTCCTGTGTTTCTATTTGGAGCCCTGGTGGCGCAGTGGTTAAGAGCTCGGCTGCTAACCAAAAGATTGCAGTTCAAATCCACCAGCTGCTCCTTGGAAACCCTATGGGGCAATTCTTCTCTGTCCTGTAGGGTCGCTATGAGTCGGAATCAACTTGCCACCGGCAATGGGTTTTGGAGCCCTGGTGGTGCAGTGTTTAAGAGTTTGGCTGCTAACCAGAAGGTCGGCCGTTGGTAATCCACCAGCCGCTCCTTGGAAACGCTATGGGGGCAGTTCTTCTCTGTCTTATAGGATCGCTATGTGTTTCTATTTGTAATACTAAGCAGAGTATATGTATTTTTCTTATTTTCTCTTCTTTCTTATCCATAAAGTGGCACCACTATATGTTTTTCTGCACTTTGCTTTTTTCACTTAATAATATTTCTTGAAAATCACTGCATATCAGTTCATAGAGATCTTCCCCATTCTTTATTTACAGCTATAAAAACTACACACCATTGTTTTTATTCAACTAGTCTTTTATACGTGGCAAGCAGGTTCATTTTTGCACAAGAAGAAAACAAGGACAAGAGACCTGTCTTGAAGGCATACATGCATACACCAAGGAGCCTTCAGTTAATCCCCTTGTTTTCCATTCCTGCTTCCAGCCTGAGCCACAGCCCAGAGCCTCTCTGGGGTCTGCGAGATCACTCCCCCCTCCCTCTGCTGCAGCCCTTTCCGTGTGTCTCCTAGGCTCTTCTTTCTTGGCTCTTTTTCATGAGACAACACTCTTCCCAGCTTCCAGAAATTTCTTCCTGAAAATTATTGAGAACCTTGATCCATGGATGTCCTTTCTGCTGTTCCTTTTGCTGCTGTAAGCTCATTTTTTCCCTTTAATATCATTTGAAAGGTTAATAAGGAAGGAGTTGAGACATAAATTAAGTGCTTGTTCCGCCATGTTAATACAAAAGTCTGCTGCCAACGTTTAAAATAACAATACATTTTTCTGTCTAAATTATTTTAATGTCCTCAGTACCCAGGAGTTTTTATATAAAGCTCTAAAACCTGTACTACCAAGCAATCCGTAAGAGGGGGGAAGGAAGGTCTGAAATTGAATAGAACAACTAAGGAAGGACATGAATGTGAGGGGAAAAAATTAAGAACAAAAAGTGAACTATCTAACTACGCACCCCTCAAATAAATGATATAATTTCAGACCCTACCAGCTCAACAACTCTGTGATTCTATGTTTTATTCTGTATCTAAACTCTGGAAAGCGGTGTAATTGGGAACATTCTCCTGAGTTCTCCAGAGGCCTGTCCCACCCCCTGCCTTTGCCCTAGAAAACACGCGTGGGTTTTCAGGAGGGAGGAAGACAGAGCAGTGGAGGGCTCACCGAGTGGTAAAGTAGAAATGCTTTGGGAAATGATATACAGACCCCCAGCCTACTAACGGAGTCACTTCTGTCCGGCTGCGCGTGTCGTTTTCCACAGCTACGATTCCCTCAACCCAGTTATGCTTCCTGTGGACGTCCCTGCTGTCGTGCACGACTTACCAGAAGAAGACAGACTGGAAATCATCGAACGGTACCTTTTTGCCTTTGGTCTCTAATGTGGTCTGTTTCCCATAAATATGGTAGGTGCTATGAGGGATTTCAAACGAGCACACAGTGCCTGAGCCTAAAGCCCAGATAAGAAAATAAGGCCAACACCCAGCCATACCACTAACTAACCAGTACCAGTTGACTTCGGGTCGACCCCAACTCATGGCGACCCCGTGTGTGTCAGAGTGGAGCTAAGCTCCATAGGTTTTCAATGGCCGATTTTTGGGGAGTAGGCCTTTCTTCCGAGGCACCTCTGGGTGGGCTTGAACTACCAATCTTTGGGTTAGCAGCAGCGTGCATTAACCATTCACACTACCAGGGGCTCCATGCCACGAAGTAGATAGGATGTTCAATTTGCAGTAGGGAGTAGAGAGACCCTAAGGTCTAAAGTGTGTGGGTCTCTGATCTCCACGCCAGGAGCTCAAAGGAGGGGAGATCAGAAGTGCTGAACGGGCTGGCAAGGTTTCAGTGGTCACGTGGACTTGGGTCAGCCCTCAAAAGATGAGTAGGATTTGGATAGGCATGCAGAAAAGGCCCAAAAGCCAGGCCCTTACGTTTGATCTTACTGACCGGCATCCAACAGCCAGTGGAAGATGCCTTCTCCTGCGCTCATGCCCTTCTAAACCTGGTGGGCCGAGCAGGGCATGCCCGTTGTCCAGGAGCAGCCTCTCCGTCAACAGCACCTCAGCTTGCATCACTCAGACACCCAGTGCTCGGTGTCTCCAGCCGAATCACCCACCACCAACCCGTTTGCAAATGCCTCTAGGTCTCAGTTACTGCTTTCTCCGTAAAAGTATTTTTAGCTATGTATTCTATCACCACGTAATTTCAGGGAGAAAATCAGAAGCTCTGTATGTTTGAATAAGAAAACAAACCAGTCACTGTTGAGTTGATTCCAACTCCTGGTGACCCTACGTGTGCAGAGGAGAACTGCGCTCTATAGGGTTTTCAGTGGCTGATTTTTTTGGAAGTAGATCACCGGCCTTTCTTCTGAGGTGCCTCTGGGTGGACTCAAACTAGCAACCTTTCAGTTAGCATTGGAACACTTCACTATTTTCACTCCAGGGACTCCATATGTTTTAGCAGACTTTTTACAAGTCAAAAATAAAATCTGTTTAAAAGTTCCAGTTTAATACCAAGATTGCGTAGTTTTGTACATATCCGTCTTTCACTGAAATTTTCCATTAAAATGACCTTTGAGCGCTGCAGATGTTGTATAGCAGTGACAAGGGTACAGGCTCTGAGTTCAAATCCCCACCCTCCTACTTAGTACACTTTGCCCAAATGACTTCACCTCTCAGTGCCTCGATGTCCTCATCTTTAAAATGGGGTGACATAGGACACATCTCATGGGATGGCTGTGAGGAGCAAACAAGTGAATACATGAACAGGTATGTGTCACTCAACGTCCATGATACATTCTGTGAAATAAGACGTTTTGTGACGTGTGAACCCCATTATTATATACAGGAGAGCGGCACGCAGGACGGTCACTTGTTGGGCCTAGGACCTGCAAGCCCGCTGCCAGGTCTCCTCCGAGAACTGCGTCTGGCCCCCACCCACCAGGGTTGGACTCGCCATCCAGCCGGCCACCTCCGGCCACGACGCTGGCTGATCACACCTGCAGCTCCCTTCCCTCCTGTCCTCCTTGCTGCTTTTCCCGCCCTCCCACCACAAGGGCTGTAAACTCTTCTAGCCCGCCCCTCCCTGCGCCCCCTCCCTAGGCCGCCTTTCCCGCTTCTCCTCCCGCCACCGTCCACCGTCGCAGCCCGACCCCCCGGGGGCCACCACGGTGCGGGGGAGCGGCCCGGACCTCTCGGGGGCCATGGCATGGGGAGTGGCTCGGACCACTTGAAGGTCATGTAGGGCTGATTCAACATTCAGAAATCAATTTATGTAATCCATCACATCAAGAGGCTAAAAAGAAAAATCATATGATCACATCAATAGATGTAGGAAAAGCATTTGACAAAATTCAACACCTGTTTGTGATAAAAATCTCTCAGCCACTAGGAATTGAAGGGAACTTCCTCAACTTGATAAAGAACATCTGTAAAAAACCTACAGCTAAAATCATACTTAATGGTGACAGACTAGATGTTTTTCCCCTAAATCTGAGAACAAGACAAGGATGTTCCCTCTCACCACTCCTATCTGACATCGTACTGAAAATCCTAGCTAATGCAATTAGACAAGAAAAGGAAATACAAGGTGTACAGATTGGGAAGGAAGAAATAAAACTGTCTTTATTGTCAGATGACATGATTGTCCAGGTAGAAAATCCCAAAGAAGAGACAAAAAATCTCCTGGAGCTAATAAGTGTTTATAGCAAGGTTGCAGAATCCAAGGTTAATATACAAAAGTCAATTGCTGTCCTGTTTACCAGCAATGAACGGTTGGAACTTAAAATTAAAAACACAACACCGTTTACATTAGCACCAAAAACTGAAATACTTACACATAAAGCTTTCAAAATATGGACAAGATCTACATACAGAAAACTACAAAACCCCAATGAAGAAATCAAAGATTAAATAAATGGAGAAATATTCCATGTTCGTGGATAAAAAGACTTAATGTTATTAAGATGTCAATTTTTCCCAACTTGATCTATAGTTTCAGTGCAATCCCAATCAAAATCCCAGCAAGTTATTTTGTAAACATTGGCAAAATGATTCTAAACTTTGTATAAGAAGAAGAAAGACTCAGAATAACCAGCACAATACTGAAGAAGAACAGAGTTGGAGGACTGACAGTGCCCAGCTTAAGACTTAGTATAAAGTCCAGTGATCCAGAAAGTGTGGTGTTGGTGAAAGAATACACAAATAGATCAATGGAACAGAATAGAGAGCCCAGAAATACAGCCGCAGAAATAGGGCTAACTGATCTTTGACAAATGAGTAAAGGCAGTTCAGCGGAGAAAGGATGGTGCTGGAAACACTGGATATCCACATGTAAAAAAATGAAGCTAGACACTTGACCTTATACCTCTCACAAAAATTAACTCAAAATAGCTCATAGGCCTAAATGTAAGACACAAAAATACACAACTTCTAGAAGATAACCATCAGTCAGAAGTGCAGTGAGAATACTCCTTAGAAGTGAGAACGGTGAGACTTTGTCTCCTTTACTTGGGACACATCATCAGGAGGGTCCAGTCCCTGGAGAAGGACATCATGCTTGGTAAAGTAGAGGCTCAGCAAAAAAGAGGAAGGGCCTCATCAAGATGGATTGACACCGTGGCTGCAACAATGGGCTCAAACACAGCGATGATTGTGAGGACAGAGCGGGATCAGGCAACATTTAGTTCTGTTGTGCATAGGGTCGCTGTGAGTCACAGCAGACTCAATGCACGTGACAATAACAACAGAAGATACCATGGGAGAAAATGAAGGTGACTTTGCCTTTGGTAATGACTTTTTAGATACACCACCAAAAGCAGGATCTATAAAATAAAAAATTGGTAAAGTGGACTTCATTAAATTATACAATCCGTTGTGATGGCAGCAAAGAAATTCTGATAATTCAAGTGCTGATAACAATTTATCAATGCCACGTTAAACTAGACGTGTGTGATCACAGGAAATGCTTTATGACGCGGCGAACTACAGAGTCTTTCACATTTTATATCCTCAAAAACGGGTGTACGTTGATTACTGTTTCTGTAATTTTCTTTTGCAAACATGTGTTAATACTCTCAGTGCCTTTTTATAGGTAAATAATCAGTTAGTGAAATCCTAAATGTCTGAGGGTTATATCTAGTTCTTCTAAGCCCTTCCCACATGTAGTTATATCTGAAAAAGACATCTTAATAACACTAAGTCTTGCTATCCATGAACATGGAATATCTCTCCATTTATTTAATCTTTGATTTCTTCACTGGAGTTTTATAGTTTTCTGTATGTAGATCTTGTCCATATTTTGAAAGCTTTATGTGTAAGTATTTCATTTTTTGGTGCTAATGTAAACGGTGTTGTGTTTTAATTTCAAGTTCCAACTGTTCATTGCCGGTGAACAGGAAAGCAATTGACTTTTGTATATTAACCTTGGATTCTGCGACCTTGCTATAAACACTTATTAGCTCCAGGAGATTTTTTGTCACTTCTTTGGGATTTTCTGCATGGACAAGCTGAAGCTGCTGCGCGGAGGTATTCAGCGGAGTGCCGCAGCCAGGGCGGCACAATGCACTCGTCCTTCAGGTCAGGTGCCCGCTATGGAGCCGTTCAGCAGACCAGAACCCAACCAGCACTTCCTCCATTCAGCACTGATGCTCTGACCCTTGTGACCCAGCTTCCTCATCTTCGGAATGGGAATAAAATAGTCTCTACTTCACAGAGGGTTGTTGGAATTAAAGGAGATAATGGTAATGTGAGCGTGGTAGTAACAGCAGCTAACGTTTACGGAGCACTAATGTGTACCAGCAAAGTGCTTTGCAAGCATGTCTCATGTAACCTCCACAATGAGGTCTTACTGTCCACACTTCAGAGATGAGGAAATAATGTTTGCAAAGCACCAGCATAGTGACTCCCATATAGCACATGCTCAGTAAAAGTTTGCTTTCAGTCCAATGGGACTGAATAACTTTTTGCGGTTTTCACGGGTATTTCCTTAACACAAAATTGGAATGACCATCTCTGTTTATGCCTCACTGCTGAGTAAAGTGTTCCTGTCTGTAATTCCAACCTTTGAAGCGTTTTTTGCTAGGAAAGGTATCAATGGTGATAGATCTTGGAAGCATTTCTCTTTGACTGAGTGTGGTGGAAACTGCTATCAAAAAAAAAACAAAAAACTCTTCTCCTAAAGTAATGGAGTCGTTGAAACGAGGGACTGAATTTCCCAGCCTGCCTTGCAGTTAAGCTGGCCATTTCACCAGGTACCAATGGTATGTGAGCATTCCACCTCCGAGGTCAGGGCCTTAGAGGTGAGTGTGCCTCCTCCACACTGTCTCCCCCGTTCCTCCAGCTGGAACCCACACAGGCCATGACCCAGCTTTAATCATCAAACAACAAAGCTGGAGGCCAGGGGTTGGCTGGCAGCCAAATCTGGCCTGCTTCTTGTCATTTGTAAATAAAGTTTTATTGGAACACAGCTACGCCCGTTTATTTACGTGTTTCCTGTGACTCCTTCCACGCTAAAATGGCAGAGTTGGGTAGTTGCAATAGAGACCATACAGCCCACAAAACGTGAAGTATCTACTGTCTGACCCTTTACAGAAAAAGCTTGCCAATTCCTTCTCTAGCAGAACCACAAGAAAATAAAGATAACCTAGATCCCTACAGGACTTCACAGAGCAGAACAACCTACAAATCTGGAATACTTACGTCGAGCAATGACTTGAGAGAGAGAGAGAAACTCCTTTGTCCCTTAAGCCACCTCATCTAATACACCGAGCAAGTGGCTGGAGGAAGTGAGGCAAGCCCTGAGGAAGGGAGTGTTCACACAGCACACAGGCAGCCCCAGTAGTTGAATACACTGAACAAACCAGTGGGTCATCAGGAGGATCCTGGACGTGAGAGCCAGATCACTTTGACTAAAGTACTGAGTTTGGGACAAGGCTGTCTGCTGTAAAAGGCATTCTGAAAGCAGCCATCCTGTCCCAGAACGAATCACAGGATTTCAGCAAAGGCAACACTGCCAACAGCAGTAAAATATGAATGTGTGACTCAGCAGAAGAGCTTGGTTTTACCATTCTTCTATATATGTTTCATAAACATTAAATTAATTTTTAAACACCGATTAAAAGAACATTGATTACTGCTCTGGTGTGTGCTTGAGATTCATATTCAATTAAATTACTAGAAAGAGCCACTTTTTATGCTGATTTATTCTCTGCTCCAAAATTGGTGGGTGTGTGTGTTCTTCAATGTGTATGTTTGATTTGTGCAAAATATGCGTATGTGTGAGACGTGGTCCCTCTTCCATATTTACTGCCTAGCGTATCAGCGGTTCTTCAGTGCAGATTTTTCTCAAGGAAAAGGCATGTATATCTGCTGAGACCTTTTTGCTGTGGTTGTGGTGGTGGTTATTTTTGAGTACTGAGAACTTTTTAAAGCTCGTTACACCAAAAACAACCATCCATATAATGAACTCATGCCCTTCTCTGTAGACCCAGCTAAAATCCGACCTCCCAGCCATCTCATCCATTCCTATTTATAGCCTGAAAGCCTCGTTGAGTGGGCACTTGTCACAGGCTGACTTGTACTGTGGATTGTTCTAGGAGGTGCCTCTGTCTTCCATACCGGGGCAGCCCGGAGGCCCCCCGAGGGGAAGAACTGGTTTGTACTTGACCCTGTTGTCCATGGTGTCTAGCACAGCAGGGCTGGCTGCTCTAGGGATGGAAATGCCCCAGCGTTGCCCCTGGCAGCGTGCTTTGTTTTGTTTGCCTTTAGTTTCCAATGTGCTTTCTCCTTTAGCCCATGCATGGTTTAGAAGTATACAGCTTAATTTAAAAGAAATTGTGGATTTTCTAGTTACCTTTTTTGCTGTTGATTTCTACTCTAATTCCCTTGTGGCCAGGGAACATGATCTGAATGATTTCAACCTCTGAAAATCACTCAGGCTTGCTTTATGGCTCCAGAGCTGGTCAATTTTGATAAATGTTCCATGTGCTCTCGAAAAGAATGTGAATTCTGTAACCCCATTTTTTTAAATGGCATTTTATTGTTTGTTGGTGGAAAGCAATTTATCAGCCTTCTGCCTGTCTTTACTTATAGACTCAACAAAAGTAGATGGAACAACAGTTGAAAGCCATAGACTTGAGTGACTTAAATGATCACAATATTTCATCCTATTTTCACTTTGGAAAGGCAAAACAGTTCCAGCTAAACATCTTATTCCTTTTCAGTGAGCTCTGTGAACAGGATGTAGACATTATGTTGACTCCAGAAATGATCCAGGTGGAATTCCCAATGTTGGACCACAAAGACACCAAGAAGGAGAAGTAAGTGAACGTTTTTGTGCCTTAGTGAGAGGTAAGCTTGGATAAAATCTGTCCTACATAAAGTACAAACTGTTGTGTGGTCTGAATCTAAATATCTCAGGTTTAGAAAGAGATACATTTCCGATGCCATAGATATTTAGATAGATAGATAGATAGATTTTATGCCCATTGTGTCCCCTCGAATATTCTTGGTAAGTAAACTTTTAAACCCCGAATCCAATTTTTCCATCTGCTTATAATTTAATTTCTTATAAAACAGAGATGTGTCTATTTCTCATTAATAGCTGATTGGGTTTCATTCAGTATAAGAAACCCAGGCTCTGGACCCAGACGAGAGGAGACCTGGGGCTGAATCCATCTCCACCATTTACCGTATCTGAGATCTTGAGCCAGGTTACTTCTCTCTCCTGGGCCTCTCTTTCCTCATCTGTAAAATGCAGATAAAATCTCTCTCACGGGGTGGTCGTGAGGATTAAATGAGTTGCCAGATGTGAAAGCGTTTAGCGAGTTGCTTGATGTGAACTGGATGCTCAGCAAAGGTGACTTCTTTCCTTCCTCACTCCGTCAGGTGGCTCACTAGCTAAGCAAACATCTTCATAGTCATAACAAAGATGGATTTGTTAAGACTCTTTGTAATTTAAATAACCACCTATAGTTCATATGTTTTATAAATTTGAAATAGTTTTTTTAACACTTTTCTTGCGTAAAAGAAAACGCCTTTTTTATTCATAAAAAAGCAAAATACACAGAAAAATATAAAGAATAAAAAAAAATCCCACAACTCAGAGGTAGTAACTTTCACATTTTCGTTTTATTTGATTGTGTTTTAGGTGAAAGTTTGCAGCACAAATTAGTTTCTCATTCAAAAATTTATACACAAATTGTTTTGTGACATTGATTACAATCCCCGCAATGTGTCAGCACTCTCCCCCTTTCCCTTTCCACCCTGAGTTCCCCGTGTCCATTCATCCAGTTTTCCTGTCCCTTCCTGCCTTCTCATCTTTGCTTTGGGCAGGTGTTGCCCATTTGGTCTCATATACTTGAATGAACTAAGAAACTCATTCCTCATGTATGTTATTGTTTGTTTTATAGGACTGTCTAATCTTTGGCTGAAAGGTGAACTCCGGGAGTGGCTTCATTTCTGAGTTAGCAGGGTGCCCGGGGGGCCAAAGTCTCGGGGGTTCCTCTTCCAGTCTCTGTCAGAACAACAACATTAACTTATGTAACCAACACCCATTATTGGGCACATAGATTCTTTTCACTGTTTTGCTGTTATAAGTAATGTTGCAGCAAGCATCGTTGGGCCAGAATTTTCTGCAAAACATACTAGATAAAAACATAAATTCTAGGTCAATGTGTGTTTTAAGGTTTTAATATAGATTGCTAAATTGCCATCCAGAAAGTACACCAACATACCAGCAGGTCAGGAGTGCTTGCATTCTGTGTGGCTAACTGCCTCCATGAACAACTGCCTCCTTTGCCATGAGACCAGAAGAACTAGATGGTGCCCCGCTACCATTACTGCATGCTTCAGTCAAAGAGTTTATAGATGAATCCTGATTGAAAGGAGGAAAATGCAGAATCTCAAATCCTCATGGACTCCAGACTTCCTGGAGCCATGAAGGTTGGATGAACCCCTGAATCTGTTGCCCCGAGATCATCTTTCAACCAAAAACTATCCCCTGAAGTCTTCTTAAAACCAAACAGTAGTTTAGCTTAACTAGTAAAGAATGTCTCCCTTGAGCATTGTGTTCTTTTAAGAACTATCTATGTGGGTTCAGCCTGACAGCAGCAACTCAAAAGATCATATAGGAAGCTTGGGGGCAGTGAGTTTATGTTAATGGAAGAGGAACAACTCGGAAAAGGAGGGTGAGAATGGTCGCACAACTCGAAGAATGTAATCAATGTCACTAAATGGTATGTGTAGAAACTGTCGAATTGGTGTATGTTTTGCTGTGTATATTCTCAACAACAAAATAAATAAAATCGAAAAGAAAAAAGAGTGCCTGCATTCAAACACCTAGGCTACATGGACTGCTATCTTTTTTTTCTTTTTCTCATTTTTACCAATATGATAAAAAGATGACCATCTTATTGTTTTGATTTTCTTTTCTTTGCTAGTAGTGATATTAAAAAGTCTCCGATGGTTATTAGCTATTTTTCTTCTTTTGTGACAGGCCTGTTTGTCTTTTTGCCTATTTTATATTAAGTGTTTATCTTTTTCTTATTTATTTGTAACAGTTCCCTGTATGTTAAGGATAATTACCCTTTCTTGTATGGGTTGCCAATTTGTTTTCTCAGCTTGTATTCTAATTTTGTTTAGGATTGTTTTTGTTTTTTTGTGGGGGGGATCACCTTTTCTGAAAGAAATGCCAAATGCCCAATATTCTGGAGTACTATGGGATGTCTTTGGCTTGTCTGTGGTAACTTCAGAGGTCTGCAGCAACCAACACTTCTCAAAAGTTGGCAGTTCCTGGTAAAAGAGAGTTTTTAAAAAACAAAAACAAAAAAAAAAACGAACCTGTTGCTATCAAGTTGACTTTGCCTCACGGCGACCCTATAGGACAGAGTAGAACTGCCCCATAGAATTTCCAAGGAGTGGCTGGTGGATTCGAACTGCTGACCTTTTGGTTAGCAGCCGAGCTCTTTAACCACTGCGCCACCGGGGCTCCACACAAAAGAGAGTTTAGGGAATGAAAAATTTTAATGGTATTTCAGTGAGCATCTGCTTTGATCAGTTACTTAGTTCCATAAAATAGCCTGTTACACTGCATAGCACCTCGTACCTGTTACAGCTCACCACTTAGGTACACTTTGTCTTTTGTTTCAAGTTTCAAATAGTTAAGAGTTTTTTAAATACCACCCCTCCCCGCCTTTTCTCTTCTATTTCAAAAATTACCCCAGACATAGAATAGCTTGCCCTGTGAGCGGGGTTGTGTCCAGTACTCTATATTCCTTGCACCTGAAGCAGTTTGTTACCCTTTGTACTGTGGAACTACTGTTGAATGCCACTTGGTTTTCCAATTATTCTTAGATGAAATAGAAGTACTCTTTTATGTATGCACCCAAAGGAGTGTGTCATTCTTTTTCTTTTTTAAACAGATTTCAACTACTTTACGAAAAGAAACTAAACCAACACGCAGTAAACCCTACACATTTTCTGCCCACCAAATGAACTTTCAGTTTGTTCAGTTTTTCAAAGTATGCATGCATTTCACACATGTGCAGTCAACATGTGCCTGGCATTCTGAGTTCAGTTGTTTTGCGGTTAAAATTATTTTATGTACATTTTTCCACGTGTCAAAATTGTCAACAGAATGATCATTTTCTTGGCTGCAGAGTATTCTAACAGGTTGATATCCCATAGACTATTTTCACAGGTTACTTGGTTCTGAAATCCTCTTCATCTCAAAACAAGCATTATCCCATGTGCAGCTTTGTCTTCTTTGTCCTTACTTGTACCCCTTCTTCACCTCGCAGCCTCCTTAGCCAGAAGCCAGTGGATTCCCCACTGTCAGACACACAACGCAGCCAGAGTGTGAACATTCAGGGGCAGAACCAAACAGCGCATAAATTGTGCTTGATTCCCCCATGAACACTGCTGTCCATTTGGTTCTTGGCAAACGTTTATTTTTGCGGATGCCCTCCCTTGCTGGCTGTAATTAATCCGAGAGGCTCTTTGCTGCTTCAGCAGTGATCTCAGCCCCCTCAAGACCCGCTAAGGGCAGTCGTGTGGTAGAAAACCTTAAACATCCAAGAAACTGAGATTGCCTTTCATTGCTGACACATCATTCACCACTCCTTATAGTATCACGATCTCCCCGAATCATTAATATCTTTAAGGGGAGATGTGACCTGTATAATTTTAGATGTGATTCTGTAAAGTGGTGCTAGCTAGTGTTTTCAATTCTTGTGTTAAGGAACGTTTTAATGCTCCATTTTCAGATAGTTCTGGTTTTCCAAAACTGTCACATTTGCCGGGACTTCACATTTCACCCTCTACAGAAAATGTTCTAGAAGCACAGAATTTTTTTTTCCTTATTTTATTGTTTCGAAAATATACATCATTTTTACATATATAATTTGGTGACATTGTTCACATTATGCAGCCATTCTGGCTTTTTTTTTCCCCGAATTATTCCACGACCGTCGACATAAACTCAGGCAAAAGCTCCCTCTTTCCGCCTTCCTCCCACTCCGGGTGGCCACTGATAGAAAGCAGGCAGGTCACATAGGTGAGCTCACAATCTTCAGACAAGACATCTGTCCTTGCAACCAAACACATTCATTTCCTCTTAGACGTTTGCATGGTAGTAAGCAAGACAACAATTTCTGAGCTAAGTCTCCATCCTAACCCTTGGCCAGAGCCCACCAAGAAGCCAGTTGGCCCCTAAGAAGCCCGGGTGCTTCCCACCTCTCAGCCCCCCATTGTTCTCACCCCTCAACTGACAGCCACATTTTACACATTAGGCTGAAGTTCTACCCAACAGCCCCTTACCCGCCCTGCAATCCAGGTGCACAGCCCTCCCGCTCGGCCCCTGCCTTTCTGGAATCACTGTCAGTGTTAGAGATACTGTGTCTCTTTTATTCATAAAGATGGAGAATCAACTAATGCTGATGAAGCATTTGGAAGATAACATGCTTCTAAATCCCTCTGGGTGATTCGTTGTTTTACCTTCACAGCAGTGCTGGGAGATAGAAGTCATCACCATTTACAATCAGCAAGGCCCCTGGGTGGCATTGTTAAGCACTCGGCTACTAACCGAAAGGTTGGCAGTTCAAATCCACTTACAGGTGCCTCAGAAGAAAGGCCTGGCAATCTACTTCTGAAAAACCAGCCATTGAAAACGCTGTAGAGCACAGTTCTACTCTGACACACATGAGGTCACCATGAGTTGGAAATGACTTGACAGTGACTGGTTTGTTTGGATTTTTTTTTTTTTTTTTGTCTGATACATGAGGAAACAGACACTGTAAAAGTTTAGCGGACTCGTCCATCCTAAGAAACCAGTGCAGCCGAGATCGGAAGCCGGGTGTGCGTTATTCACAAGCTGAGCTTTTTCACTCTAATTCTAGTCGAAACCCTTTTTCGTAAAACACTCCACGGAAGTTCACTGAACATCCCGGGCAGCGCTGGGCCCAGCAGAAGGGCACTGGTGGGTGACTCGCGCGTGTTATTAGTTGCCCTCACGGCCCTTGTCGGGTTTTGGCATTTAGAGAGGTGAGAGACGAGGCACAGCCCCCTGAGAAGGCGGGAGAGAAGATGCTGGAGGAGGTGAAGGACCTGCGGGCGAGAGCTCTCAGCCCCTACCTGATTCTGGAGTGAAGCCCACCATCGGTCAGCGCCTCTCACACGCTTCCCGTACGACGCCTAGCCCCTTCCTGTCCGTTGAAGTGCCTAGAGAAAAGAACTGACATGTGGACGATGTAGACATTTTTCAACTATCATTTTTCTTTTTAAAAATAAAATGGCGTTAATACGATGACAGCGTTTGAAGCTTCTTGGTGCAAGACTTAGGGCGAGAGCAAAGACCGCCTGAGCGAGGTGAGAGCTGCCCTGGCTGGGGCTAGGGGCCAGGCCCTGACAGCTGCTCCGGAGGGTGGTTTGGAGGCGCGGGCACAGGGCCCGAGGTGGGGCGGGTTTGGGAGGAGCCGCTCCCGCCTGGCTCCCTGAACCCTGCAGACTCGGCTTAGGCAGCTGCTCCCAGGAAGAACAGCACTGGCATGTCCGTTGGCACCCCGAGTCGCCCTGCCTGTGGCAGACTGGTGAGAGAGCACTGAGACTGGGGGACATTGTGGGGCAGCTAGAGTTTGCGGGCTAGCTTGGGAGCCTTTGCCCATGGTGTCCCCGAAGACCCCCACCACCTTCTCACAGCCGTCCTCAGCTCAGGCTTCCCAGGCCTCCGCCCCTTGGGCTTTGCGCTTGCCTCTGACGCAGGGCTAAGTTCTTTCAGCTCTGGGTACCTGGTGCGGACCAGTGCAGAGAGGGCCCGGTCAGTGCATGCTCAGGGAATTGCTCCCCTCCACATCCAGATTTACAACTCCTTGTCCACCTTGCTTCATTCTGCAGCACCCAGCCAGCAGTTACTAAGCCCTGATTGGTTCCACCCACTCACCCATCTTGCTCTGGGCTCCAGCTTTGCATTATTTATGTGAACCCTCTCGTTCAGGGCTCGTTATGTGACTGTGAACCGGTTCTCATGGCAGTGTATGCGTTTATGTCCACCTCAGCTTCTCCACGTATAAACAGGAGCCAAGTTCTTTTATTTCTCTCTCTACTTTCCAAGGGCCATCTTAAGGCCGTGGCCACCTTGGAATAGTTGTATTGCTTGTGTTGGAGATTTGGTGCCACCTGGTGGATGCCTCCCAAATTGAAGCCTTGGGTTCCCGTCAAATATGGATTATCTCCAGGGACAAGGGCCAGACGGCAGAAGGGGACAGGAAAGCTGGTGATCGGGAACCCAAGGTTGAGTAAGGATAGTGTTGATGTGTTGTGAGGTTGTTAACCATTGTCATAGGGCA